AGGATAAAAGCTGAAAATATCTTTGTAGTTTCTTTTGAACTACTATAATTTCAGTATAATGCAAACATGCTTTGGAAAATTCTCTCTTTTTGATATGTACTTACTTATGACTGCTTAGGAAAATTCTCTTCATTCGATATGTACGTACTTATGACTGCTTATGTAATATTCTCTCTCCCCCTTTTTTGCTAAATTCTGTGTGTATTCATGAAGATCAGTTACAAAAATATTATAATTTGGGGTAACATTTTTTGGATGATCTGATGTGAATATGCCCAATTTGGGGTTGTAAGATACAAGAGCGTGGAATGCATAGGACAACTTTGATCGTGGTAATTGTGTTTCTATACAACAAGAACTACATTATTTATTAAACTCCTACCGTAGAGGTGGGTCTGGTGACAAACCACTTCGACACAGAGACATGGGGAGCCAGACATGTGTTTGTCTCCAACCGCTCTCTAACGCTGTCAATGTAATGAGAAGTTCAAGGGGGATAAATCAGAAAATAATGCTGGAATTAATCAAAAGCACTACCAAACATGTTTTTCAAATGCCCATTCACTTCAGTGCGCACAATTTGCTACAATTCTGACTTACGTTTAAATGGACATCCACTCGACTATTCCTTCACTGAAACATCATACATAGCATGAGAAATTGAACTATGTAAACATAACTCAAATTGGAAAGTGAAGATGCCACTCTTTCCTCTAGAAAGAATGTTTGCTCTTGGTGAAACCATGTAAAAAAATAAGTTGTAGCATCCTATCTGATATTGGACCAACATATCAGATAGGATGCCACACATTTTGAAACTAGGATGACAATCGTGTTCGTTTTTATCCGTACAACCTGTGAATAAAAAATTTCATTATATCTTAAATTTCATTATCATTTTATCATACCTATGTTTATATTTTTTTTAATAAATTAAAAATTAACTTAATAAATATAGTAATAAAAATCCATAAACGTATCTTTTTTTGCATAAAAATTAGTTCACTACTCAGTAAAAAGTGTATTTTATTCTTATAATAATACTTAAACATGTTAATCGTGTCAGTTTTGCATTGTTCGTATTTGACATTATTCAAACCTATTTATTATTCGCGTTAACGGGTTGTGTCATATGTGAGTTCGTATCGAGAAATGATCAATCCTAACCTACTAATTTTATGTCGATTTCAAGTCATGTTTTCATGATTGTGTTAGAAATTACCACTCTTATTTGAAACACAGCCATATTTCTTATTGCAGCAAATTCTTCACCGGCTTCCTTCTCCACGTTAAATGTTCTTGCCATGGTTTCATATGCCCGATACACATTTGAAAGCCTTTCCGTCTCTTATTACTTGGGGTTGAGATAACAATAGGTGAAGGCTTAGCAATTTGTGGCTGGTTTGTGGTTCTTAGACACTATAAATAAGAACAAATAAAGACATCGTGAATAGAGGATGATGATGCACAAAACAGTCTCGTGCAAAATCAACAGTCGAGTGTGTGATAAGGTGTAATTAATGGACAATTAATAAAGCAATAAATGGCAAAAAGGTAAATATTGAGTCAACATGTAGATATATAGTGGTTCGATCCGGATGACCTACTCCACTTCGAGAAACGGTTACGGTGGCCAGTGAACCTTTATTGATGGAATAAAGTAAGAGAGAGGGAGAGACAAGGCTAGTTCTAGGAGTGGTACAATAACTAGCAGAGAGAAAGTGTGTAGAGAGGTGTGGTGAGATCACTGTGTCCTCTCATGTAGTGTGAAACCCGAGAAAAATTTTAACTTTTTCTAAAAAAAAGGGCAAAATGATAATTTTTCATTATAGTGCGGGTTAAAAACTGGTATTATTATAGACCTCGGATGATGAAACGGACCTTACCGATGGATTCATCTCACGAAATCTAGTTACCCAGACAAATTTCGTCGAATTCTGAGATAGTCAGAATTTTTAAGTTTTTCGAGGTGACGGGTGTTCGATGACCCCTAAAAACGAAATTTTTATAAAAATTTTAAAATTTGAAAAATATTTTAATTAAATTTCATATAAAATATTTTGAGCTTAAATCGGTACGAAATTTAATCGTTTCGTGGCGAAAACGGACCCGGACAAAGGACGATACTTGACGCGACGAGGGCAAAGTGTTTAAAAAGTATAAAAATGGGCAAATATCTAAAAAATCAGATGTTTTCTCTTCATTTGGCCAGCTGGATCAGACCCAAGAGCAAAGAAGAAAAAAAAAAAAAATTTCAAGCTTTCTTCCGCTGATTCTCGGAGTTCCTTTGGTCGGAATTCGTCGGGCCAAGAATTAAACTCGATCTACGCGACAAGAGCTATGCGTGGGTACCAAAAATAAAGATTTTCACCGAAGATTCAAAGGGAGGATTTTGGAGAAATCTAAACTTTGGGCTTGAATCTTGTTCTTGAGGCTTCCTACAAATTCTTTACGCTTCAAGAGATAGGGTTCCTCCTACTCGGACCTATTTCTAACCTAAGGTGTCCATAGGGTTCATGTGGGCTGTTTTGGGTATTTCTTACATTTTTCCATTATGGTTAGTGTTATGAAAATGGGTAGGATCAATTCTAGTGTGAATTGGTAGTTAGAAAATGTTAGTTTGTGATTTCTAGAATGTTTCGATAATTGGTTATATAAAAATCATATATTCTGATTTTTATTTTGTTTGAATGATCCATATAAAATCTTGGCTTGATTTTGGTATATGGAAGTATTTATGTAATTCCTTGGAAATTGGGATCATGTGGGCATGCTTTGTGTTTTATATTATGCCTTGTGAATGAAATGTAATATTAGCATGTATTATGTGTTATCATGTTGATGGAGTGTTGATATATGCTCTTGGATATATTGAACTTGAAATGGTTATGTGATTATATGCAAATGATATTAATTGTCATGGTATACAATGATATTTAAAAATTGTCATTTGGCATGCATTGCAATATGGACATGGAATTAACATCACATTCATGGGCTACATGCATGAGTGTGGGTGTAGGGTTGCATGGGGTGATCAACACCAACATTGGTTCTTGATGGTAGGCTCGGGAAAGTGGGATGGAACGTCCTACGGAGTCGCACGGTGACATGCATAAGAAAACTTGTGTCGGGTATAGCAAGTAGGGCTAGACACTCCCTCGGGTGAAAAACCCGGCCACTTGGTTCGTACATTTACGGGCGGTGAAATTCTGAAAAAGTGTAACGGTGTATGGAGCCGGAGGTGCGATTCCTAAATCCGATACCCCATAAAGGCACATGACTTTGATATATAAATTATTCATTTGATGAAAAACATCCAAGAATGAATTAGTTTTATNTGAGACCTTGGGTTGGGTCGAATTCACAAATTGTGCTCGACATGCCTTTTAGCTGATTTGGGCTAATTTGATTTATTGGGTCTGAACCGATTAGATTTGGGCTCATCATTTGCCCCCTTAAGCCCTAATAGTGATTTGGGATTGAGGGCATGAGCGACCTCTTCATCTAGGCAGACCGAATACCTTACTCTCCATGGTGTCTCTTTCAGCTTTTCATCATTTTTCATTCATGAAGCCTCTTTTCTCATTTGATAATTCCATTGTTGGGCAGCCATTGTAATGGTATCAAATTTCATCTGTTGGGTTTCCCTTAGACCCAGTAGCCAAATAACCCCTTTCTCATTCAAGGGATGGCCTTTGTGATCAGTATATATGTAGCCTATTAAGTGAGTANGGCTCACCCTATACGGGAAACATTTCAGGTGTGGGTCATGCACCAATGGACGGCTCACAATCAGGGTCATACGGTTGAAGAAAAGCCGACTTGTGGCTTCCAATCCATTTTTTTTTGTAAAAGTAGATTTGTAATTAAATTTTGGCATGTAATGTGTAAAGGAATTGTAATAGAGTATATATGGACTGTTTTAATATAACCTTGCATATTTTGATATAAATATGATGATTGGACCCGGTGTGGTCAAGTTTTACGTATAAAATGGACCCTGTGTGGTTATGGTATTATATTGGACCTCGGATGGGTCATGTAAATGTTGATTGCACAGATTGTGTTTTGGGGTAGAGCTTCCCGTACAAGGGAGACTCTGCCCGGATTTCGTTAAATTATGGATCCCGGTAAATGGGACACAACGGTGCGATATCGAGTTATACGGTATCCACGGGCATTCCATGGGTTGATGGGAAATTAACGGACCTCATGAATTTGGGGTGTCACATGTAGAGAGAACTTACAATTTATAGGCACAGAGCTTAAGTTGAAGCAGTGACATGAGGGTGAAGATACTAGATCTTCAGGAAGGATAGCTACAAAAGGTAAGTACAATTAAGGTAGCCTTAATCCTTGAGGGTGTATATCCCGATGATTTCTATTCACGTGCTCTAATTCTTCTCGGACTCTTGAGACCTTGGGTTGGGTCGAATTCACAAATTGTGCTCGACATGCCTTTTAGCTGATTTGGGCTAATTTGATTTATTGGGTCTGAACCGATTAGATTTGGGCTCATCATTTGCCCCCTTAAGCCCTAATAGTGATTTGGGATTGAGGGCATGAGCGACCTCTTCATCTAGGCAGACCGAATACCTTACTCTCCATGGTGTCTCTTTCAGCTTTTCATCATTTTTCATTCATGAAGCCTCTTTTCTCATTTGATAATTCCATTGTTGGGCAGTCATTGTAATGGTATCAAATTTCATCTGTTGGGTTTCCCTTAGACCCAGTAGCCAAATAACCCCTTTCTCATTCAAGGGATGGCCTTTGTGATCAGTATATATGTAGCCTATTAAGTGAGTAGGTGACGCCATGGCGAAGCCAAGGGCGACGCTCAAGGATCCTTATGGCAGCTCTAGAGGAGGCAACGAAGGCGACGCCTAGCATGCCCTAGAAAACCCCCATGGGGGTGGAGAGGTTGGCGGCGCTCATGGCATGTCTGGAGGCTACTTTGGCAAAAGAGGTGAACAGCACGTGGGAGGTGGTGACGCCGACTAGGCGCTAGGTAGGGCGACACCAATCACAAGCGACGACGAAAAAGGTTGGCAGGCGACGCTCATGGCGTAGAAGGGTCTGTTGGCGACGCCTTGCAAGCGCAGGGACATAGGTGACAGTGGATTGGGCGACGCCCTTGGTGGGCTAGGCAACGCCCCTAGGTAGTTGGGTGACACCTGAGGTGCTGGACAGCTGCTGAAGTGAGGTAGGATAGGAACGAGCTAGGGCGGCGCCCAAGAGGCTGCTGGATGATGTCAGCAAGCTACTGGGTGATGCCAGGAGCAGTGACAAGCTAGACGATGCCTTGCAGGCGCTGGGCGTTGGCCAGAGTATTAGAAAACTATGAAAAAGGGCAAAACCTTCCATGGCCGTAACTTTGCACTCGGTTATCCATTTGAGATGAATTTTTTGTTGAATCTAGGTATTTTTTTCGAGATCTATGACATGATAATTGCCAAAGGCGATTTGGTCAAAAATATTTTCCAAAAAATGCTTCTATCTCTCTGAATTTGAGTTTTAAGCACAAATTAGTGAAACCGATAATGGTGGAAAGTTGCGTTCTGACAGACGACTGTCAGGCATTCATGGGCGACGGATTGGCATTCTGGATTTTTACCAGGTAGAGATACTATGATGGCTTTCAACTGGGTAAGAGGCGAACTCGCTTTCTCCAATCTTGCTTTTTTCTTTATGTTTTCTCGATATTGGTTTATTATACTGACCTTGTCTCTAATTACAGACGCCATATTGATAGGGCGATGGTGGAGGTTTTCTGTGACAACATGTATTAAAAAAATTTAATCGCTAACATGTAATTTAAGTAGTTAATTATGATCTTTTATAGTTAATGATTATTTTTAGAAATTTCAAATGAACAAATGAACCTCAAATATATTTTTTTTATGTGAAAACAAGTTAAATAAGTTTAATATAGGTCATATTTCGTATTAAAAATAAAATGTGTAATACATTACATATAAAATATATGTGAATACATATATAGAGATCACAATAGACATGTGGTCTATTAGAATTAAAAGAAAAAAAAAAGAATGGCCAAACAAATGGACAAGTGTCCATAAGGTTCTTGGTCCCCAAGCAAGATTTTGTTATAAATAGCCAAGCCAGGCTATTTGATCGGCACAAAGAGAAGGAAAAAGAGAGAGAAGGGAAGAGAAGGAAAGAGAGAAAGAAAGAGAGAGATAGATGGAATAGAAGAAAAAAAAATTATGAGATCTTGGGGTCAAAAATTGAGCAGTGATTTTATTTTAGATTGTTATCAAATTTGACTATTTGATTTGGGGTATTTCGAATTTCGCATCTATTGAAGTCATTGATGGATTTGAGGTACGAGATAGTATACAATATGCTCCTATCTTTTAAATCTCTTTGCAAAAAGTGTCATTTTATTATTTGAAATTTTTGTATTCCTATTGATTATTTTGATTTGTATAAAATTCTGTCAATGTTATCGGTTGACCTGTACGTGTACGTTGGGCTAAATACTTTGGGATTGATTGGTACATGTACGAAATGTACTTGGGGGCATAATTAGTGAAATGTGATTATGGCAGGAGGTGCGACTGTGATTATAGCCCTGAGGGGTGTAATGGTTCGATATGAGTATGAATTTTAAATGCCCAGGTGTCACTTGTCATGTCACCAAGAGGACCTGAGTATGAGGCTAGGTTTGATAGATATTGAGCTATGTGACTTATCCAATTGGATTCTTGATTCTTTTATCTATGATTGTCTATCGATTAAATTATTTGGTATTTGATCATTCATATTCTTTTTCTCGTTGAGCATATTGTTTCTCGTCATATTGTATACTTCCCGGCCTTTTGAATTTTTCAGGATTATCTCGAAGGGAAGGACCAGAGTTGATATTTGAAGAATCGAAGACAGACGAATTTTGATATAATTTTTAACTTTGTGGGTTTATTGGGGTGATGTATCATTTGAACAAATTCTTTTTTATATTGAGGAGATTATTTTATTGGTATTTGGAGATCAAAATTGTGATTATAAATTTATTGAGGTAATTAGAGCTCTAGCCCTATACTCAGAGATTTATTTGTGGTTTATTATCGATCAATTGATTTAATCAAGTAATGGGTCCGAAAAATCGGGGCGTTACAAAGTGGTATCAGAGCCAGGTTATCAGATCTTATATGGGTCATGTGGGAAGTGAGACTATCAGCTTTCGGCGTAGGTATAGGAGTTTAAAATGTACGAAGTAAGTCAATCAATTCCCATTAGACGAAAGTATAAATTGGAATTCATATCAAAATTTTGGGTCATATAGTAAAGAGTGGAAAAAGGTATCAGAGTGCGTAGCGAATATTTGTGTAATGTATTAATACTTATTTTACTCTTAAGGTTAGTATCAAATTTCGGGGACGAAATTCTTTTTAAGGGGGGTAGATTGTGACAACCCGTATTAAAAAAAATTAATTGCTAACATGTAATTTAAGTAGTTAATTATGATCTTTTATAGTTAATGATCATTTTTAGAAATTTCAAACAAACAAATGAACATCAAATATAATTTTTTTATGTGAAAATAAGTTTAATATAGGTCATATTTCGTATTAAAAATAAAATGTGCAATACATTACATATAAAATATATGTGAATACATGTATAGAGATCATAATAGACATGTGGTTTATTAGAATTAAANTATCATGTCACCAAGAGGACCTGAGTATGAGGCTAGGTTTGATAGATACTGAGCTATGTGACTTATCCAATTGGATTCTTGATTCTTTTATCTATGATTGTCTATCGATTAAATTATTTGGTATTTGATCATTCATATGCTTTTTCTCGTTGAGCATATTGTTTCTCGTCATATTGTATACTTCTCGGCCTTTTGAATTTTTCAGGATTATCTCGAAGGGAAGGACCAGAGTTGATATTTGAAGAATCGAAGACAGACNATCTAAGAGTTTACGGTTACCATCAAAATTTTGGGTAAGATTTTTTAGTTATTATTGGTAAATTTAATATGTTTGAGTCACTTAAAGTTGATCTTCATTAAATATTTTTGGATTAAATTTAAATATCATTATCTTTCGTTAGTTATTCCAAAAATTATTTTAGGTTAATTAAGCCCTTATTACCTATTGTTATTCTAAAATATTATTTTGATTATTTTGTCACAGTACACNAATTTAAGTATCATTATCTTTCGTTAGTTATTCCAAAAATTATTTTAGGTTAATTAAGCCCTTATTACCTATTGTTATTCTAAAATATTATTTTAATTATTTTATCACAGTACACAGTATCAAATAGAAGTGAAGAAGAAAGTAGGGTTTCTTTTATTTTTTACTATCATTGATACATTTTATGCATATTTGGAGGTTTCATATTAAATATATTTTTAATTATATAATGTAATATTATATCATGGGGTCAAACTGGGGTTTTATAAATAAATCGTTATCATGCACATGTTGTATTTTTTTATCGAGACCCTAATTATCTCATGAAACCATGTTGCATAATAAATGTCTATTTCATTATTAATATTTAATGTTTAATTTTCTGTGTGGTCTGACTACGATATAATTTTATTTTGTGATTTTGATGAAATTACTATAAATGCACATAATCGAGGGCAGAGGGTTAGTAGATGCGTGATCCTTGCGAGAATTCACAGGATTCCTACTAGTCCTTAGGTTCACCAGTTAGTAATATCGGTTGTCGTGGTAGCCTGTGGCACCACATAATTTCCGGTATTGGTGTTTCCAGAAAAGCAAAAGGGGCTATGGTGCAAGACCCCAAAGTTTTCTCCGGAGGCGGTTCATGTGTGGACCAGAGAATTGACGGATTGATATGATCGATATGTGCTAAAATTTATTTATTTATTTGATTCATTACTTTGCCCTATTCTTGCATTTATTCGCAGTTTAATTATATTATTCATTATTTTAAAACCTTGGTAGTCATTGATAAACGTTATCCTACTGAGCAGGTGAGCTCATCCCTATTTAACATTTCTCAGATATATGAAGTCAAGCTGGAGGATAGGCTGAAAGGATAGAGTCTGCTAATATTATTTCTCTTTATGTTGTATCAAGAATATTTGAAATGATCTTGTGAGAATTATGTACTCGTACGTACAATAAAATAATATAANTAAGAATTATGTACTCATACGTACAATAAAATAATATAAGGAAGATTATTGTAAGCTTGGTGTAATTTTATTCCTTACTCACACTCGAGCATTTTTTTTTAAAAGGAACAAAATTTTGGGGTGTGACAGAGTGGTATCAGAGCTTGGAATTAGATCTTATATGAGAATTATATATATAGACTAATTGGGATTAATGTACTAATACTGAACATTTTTTACAGACATATTATTTTTTTTTATCAACAGAACTAACTTTTTATGACTATAGGTATGACATCTTTGGATGATCTTTACATAGCTCACAGTAACATGGGCTCTGAGGCGGCTAGTGAATACCGGACTCTTAGAGTTAATATAAAGGCCTACAATTTGATAGTCCGCAAAATTCAAGATGTGTCCCAAAATTGGTCATTCATTCCGATCTCTGAACATAAAAGGTTAGTACATCACAAACTGACCTCATAGCTGAGGGTGCTCCGCCAAGCACTAAGTATTGAAAGGAATCTCAACCTGTACCAGAAAATTCTGAATGGATTACCAGTACAAGACATTCAGTGGCCACCTACAGGGGCTAATGAGGGGCAGCCAATAGAATCCCCTAACTTGGATAATAATGAAGAATATGACCCACAACCTCACGATCCCAANAGGGGCTAATGAGGGGCAGCCAATAGAATCTTCTAACTTGGACAATAATGAAGAATATGACCCACAACCTCACGATCCCAACGTAGCCCCTATAGCCGCACCACCCGAAGCAAACCATCGTGCAGATTCTGTTGGTTCTGCGAACTAATGTGTCTCCAAGGAGGAGGGACATGAAACTTCTTGGTCCCTAGCTGTACTGTCGGCTTTACTATTCTAAGAAATTTTGCCTGTAAATAGTAGTAACTCTTAGAATGGTAGGAATATATGTACCACTACATAACTTAGAGGTGATTGTCCTAGACTTTTGTTCTCCATGTGAATAACATCTAGGATANTATACTGTCGGTTTTACTATTCTAAAAAATTTTGCCTGTAAATAGTAGTAA